AGCAAGGGATTTTGGGAATATCGGCCCGGCCAGACCCCCCTGCCTCCAGGGCTGCCATCCCCATGCTGCCAAAGAGCGAGCCCTTCTCTGCAATCAGGTTCATGTGTACGGCCTGTTGCAAAGCCACAAGGAAAGGTCCCAGAGGGCCAGCTGAGATTGTCCTTGACTTTGGGGGGCCCTACAGCACAGCAGACGTTTATGCCCTCCAACCAGCTCTGATGTGGTATGAGACAGGGGAGGGAGAATTTCTAATGGGAAGGATTTTAGTGTGTCTATCCCCAGGTAATGTGTAACTCTCGGGACTGTTCCAGTTAGCCTAGTTAATGCAGGCCTCCGGCTAGTCTTACGCTGTGCCCGTCAGCCTCAGGACCCGCAGCGCTGTGACCCAGCACCGCTGTTGCTTTGGGTACAGCTCAGTGCGCACTGAGCCCCCTCCCTCCCTCCTCCTCCCCATTCCGAGCCCTGCGGTCTGGAGGCCACAAGGACCTGGCTGCACTTTTCTCTCCTGACTTTATGCTGCGTCCCACAGGAAGCAAGAGCGACAGTAACAACGAACTGGCACACACTAAACATTAATTACAGTTAATTAGGGTTTTGGCATTAAAATGACAAGCCATTCACTTCCTATGACTGTACTAAGAGCAATTTTAGAAAAGAGTTGTATGCATGGGGCTATGCAAAAAAGGGCACAGTATTCAAAAAGCCTGGTAAGACTTTCCAGCAGTGCCAGGTGGTGGTGAGAAGCCTGTTGGGTCAGGAATATGCTGTATTTGACAAATGACTAGTCACTGTTTATCTCTTGAGACAAATGCAATCTAAAAGATTGTGTTTTCTGCCACAGCTCAGTTCAGCTGCTGGATAACTGGTACCAAAACCAATCAGGCCCTTTTATCCCCCCATGCCTGTCTTCCATACATGCTAATAAAGGCATTTAAAATCTAATCTCCCTCTTGTCTTCCCAAAATGGAATCCAGAGGAGTCAAATATGACAGTCATTTTGCAGACAAGGCTCACAGGGGCATTAGGGGAAACGTACAGTTTCAGTTCCCTAATAGAGTTTTAAGCCCCTGAGAGATAAAGGAAAGTCAGCACGTAAATGAGGTGCTTGCTCCAAATAATTAGCACTTCTAGAGCACTTTTCATCTTCAAAGGGCTTTGTGCACATCCTTGTGAGTGTGGTACACAGACCCCTCTCAACAGATGGAGAAAGAAGCCAAGGCTATTTCGTGGTATTTGCAAACAGGGCTGGGAAAGGGTCCGGAGGGCTGGTGAGGTTTGTACTCAGAGTTCAGGGGCTGCTTCCCTGCTTACAGAAAGCCAGCTGGATTTCTGCACAGCTTGCCAGCACTGTAGGTCAGCTCGGCAGGACAGGGAGCTAGCTCAGCAGTGCTGGGCTGTAAGCATTAACCTGGGTCTACAGTCAAACCTCAAGGGACACATCTGACCTTTGAATAATTGAGCACTGCAGTGAAGAGGCTTCAGTAGCTGAGCTCGCAGCGTGAGAAGAAGAGCTGTTCGGGGTCAGGGAGGGAAACATTCCTCAATTTTTCATTAATGCGAAAACACAGATGAAAACTCTGCTTTAGAATACAAAGGAACAGACCTTTTTGCAGGGGAAAATGACAATGGCGGGGCAGGTTTGGGGTTGTTTTAAGGTATGGTCTACAGCACCTGCGAGGCTGGTTTTTGCTGGTGTGGAAAGGTCACAAGTATGATCGGGTCAAGGGGAAGTGGCTACGGCTCAGTTTGATGCTAAGGAGGCAGAGCTCTCTGAGCTAGGCTCATCCCAAGGGGTTGTGCAGAAGGCAGCTGCAGCCAACCCGTTTATCACAGAATCGTAGAATGGTTTGGGTTGGAAGGGACCTTTAAAGCTCATCTAGTCCAACCCCCCTGCCATGAGCAGGGACATCTTCAACTAGATCAGGTTGCTCAGAGCCCCGTCCAACCTGACCTTGAATGTTGCCAGGGATGAGGCATCTACCACCTCTCTGGGCAACCTATGCCATCACCCTCATCGTAAAAAATTTCTTCCTCAGATCTAGCCTGAATCTACCCTCCTTTAGTTTAAAAACACCACCCCCTATTGCAACGACAGGCCCTAAAAAAGTCTGTCCCCATCTTTCTTATAAGCCCCCTTTAAGTATTGAAAGGCCACAATAAGGTCTCCCCAGAGCCTTCTCTTCTCCAGGCTGAACAACCCCAACTCTCTCAGCCTCTCCCTCATAGGAGAGGTGTTCCAGCCCTCTGATAATTTTTGTGGCCCTTTATCCAAGAAAAGGCTGGGTTGAAAGAGGAAAATGGCTCACATTTGTGAGCCCTTAACTCAGGGCTCCTTAACACCCATAGTCCACCAGTTGCACAGGCTAATCTCTCCTCCTCTGGTGCAGAAGGTCCCTGCGCCCTGGCTGTTAGCAGTAATTTCAGGTTCTCTTTTGTCATGCCTTTTGCATATGGTATGATTATTTTAAGTGAATAAACTGTTACGTTGCTTGTCAATGGCAAATATATCAAAAAGACCCAATTGCAGCTAATATTCTTGATATTTCTTGAACCACACACAGGGAAACTGAGTGTTTAGGTTTCCACTGCAATGTAATTATGCTTGGAACTAAACTAAACCTTTGCTACAGAGCTTCTTGATGTACTTGTATTCTGTAAGAGAGGTAACACCAGTTTCCCAAATCGCGTAACTGAGGCATGAGGAGCTCAGAAGATTTGCATAATGTCAAATCTCAATGCAACAGGGCAGCGAGGATATAACCCAGGGGCCCAGACCCATGTACTTTCTCTAATCAGTAAATTTCCCTCCCTCCCCTTAATACAATACTACAAAAACATTGTTACTTATATAAAATATTTTGAAGCTGAATAGGCTACCAAGTATATAATAAGGCATCAGGACTGACTGCTCCAGAATAAGAAAACTTTTGCAAATCTAGCAATTACTTTAAGACTGATTCATTTGAAAAGAATTATCTCACCGAACATTTTGCAAGAATGATGATATGTTATCCCAAGGAAATTTTGAGGTGACTTTTAGAAATTACACTCAGCCACGGAACAAAAGGAGGCAATGGAAATATTCGCTTCTGCTCGGATATTTTTAATAGAGGAAAGCTTGTTAAAAATAAACTGTAAAGAAGATTGGGGCGGAATCACAAATCATCTCATTAGCATTTGGGGAAAAAAAAGCAAAGATGAAATATCAGCTTGTAAAGTCTTTTCTGCAAAGCCAATTTTCTCCCCCTTCCATCTGGTTTATCTGTATTCCAAAATTCTCATTTTCAAAGAAGTTTCTAAAATGGCAATTCCGGACTGTTTTTGTTCTTACTAAACAAAGCAATGTACACCCAATATAGAAATATAAAGAGGAATGCAATGAATTAGACTTTTTTTTTTTTTTTTGTCTGACAGTTGATTTTTAAACCAAACCCAGGATTTAAAAAGGAAAAAGATGTGGGTGATTTCACACCTGCATTGCTTCTTACCCTGAAAATCAACCATGGGGCTAACTGAGTCTTTAGCCTCTGGTCAAACACCAACTGACATCAGTGATCCAGTGAGGGCCAGCACCACAGGATCAGACCTTTAACGGGAGGGGCACCCCCCCAGCACTTACAAGACCGATAGAGAAAAAGGAGACATGGCAAATGCAAAAGCAGCATATAAAGGGCAAACTAGAAATTCTGCTGTAGACAAGAATTTGAAATTTGCCCAATGCCACTTCTCAGCATTTTGTGGACTCTGATTTGGAGAACAGCAGTAAAAAAGTGACACTTTCCTGCAATGAAACGATTAGAAAAGTAGACTATAAAAATGGCACTACAAAGAAATATCTAGAATTTTACAGGTGGTATTCAAATAGATGATCTTTATTTTGCAGTTTATTATCTTTGAGCATAACTTTTTATAAAGAACATTAAAATGAAGGTTAAGAGAAACTTACCCCATAGACCAGTTCACCCACCATGCCATTCCATATCTTAGTCTCAGGGTCCCTAGCTCCATATTTCCCATCTCCAACAATTGACAGTTTGTATTTTATTCCAACATGTTTTGCTATTTCAGAAGCTAAGTCTACACAATATCCTTCATATCTCTCATTCCCTTCTAGTTGTTCATGGTTTTTCTTATACATTACATATGGTGATTCCTTTGAAACAAAAGTAAAGATCAAAAGAATGTAAAATACAGCTTTAAAACATACAAAATGAGAGCTGCTATTATCCTTTATATTACTGGCAAGTATTTACAGTATTTCCTGCTTTGGTACAGAAATAAGAAAGACAAACTTTTGCAGTTTAAAAATCCTTGGCTGATCCTACAGCCACACATACTATTGATTTTAATCCTAGTATGGGCCCATTGAAGACAACAGGACTATTCCACTTTAAAAAAGTTACACTTTTGTTTGCAGGATTAGGCCTGATTAGACAGTCAAATAGCATCACTGTAGTAATAATTCAGGTTTTAGTGTTTCGAGAACTGACATACCCAACACCTGTACCATCAAAATAATTTCCTAAAGCCCCAGTGGCCTAGAATAGGGCTCCGATGGAGATATTTTCAAAGCAGCCTAAGGGAAGCTAGGCTAAAATCCTCAGCAGCAATTTTTGTCACTAAATTCCCTTAGCCTTCTTGGAAAATTCTAGCTGAAATGCTGATTATATCTTGCTAAATCCATAGGAGTATAAAATACAATGCTTCAGGAAATAGCATAAAATTGGCTCATGCTTAGTAGAATTGTAACAGGCATAAAAGTCACAAACAATACTGTACAGAGCACATCTGCTAGAGGCATCGGGGCTGACAGAGGAAGAGCTTTACCCCTTCGGAATTGCATGGGTATAGGTCGCTTTTCACCCAGTGCTAGAGCAGTTCCAGTTCTCTACAGGCTTCATTGTGCCACCCTTACTCAGTCCACAGGGCTTGAGTTTACAGGAGCTGTACCTGAGTGAGGGGTGCAAGATTTGACCCTGCAGCAGGAAGGCCAGATCCTGCAGTCATTTACACACATTTACACATGCACAATAACTTCACTTATGTGAGGCGTTTGATTGAGTTCAAGTGTCTGAGAAGCAGCAAAGCGCAATGTTGAGCTCAGTGAGCTCCTCCTGCGAGTAAACTTATTGATACACATAGAAGTTTGCAGGGTCAAGCCCTCAGTACCTCTCTGGAAGATGCTGAACTTTTCAGCCACTTGAAGCCACACAGTATTCAACATTTGCCTCCTGGCAAGGTGTCTAACACACCTCAGGAGCCATGTGTCTTGCTTCCTAAACACAAACACACTAAGAACATAAAACTTACCAAGATGGTAGTGACTACTATAGTTCTGTTCTCCACAGATGAAGTGTCATTAGAGGGCAGCTGATCTAATGCTGGCACAAATCTTTCGTATTCGTTCCAATAACCAGCCTATAAAAATGGAGATAGTTACCTCATTACATGCAGTTACAAGGACTCTGGTGCATGAACAGAAACTGTCAAAACATACGGCTTTGTAACACTTATTCATGCAACATTTTTGCCACTAAAGGACTACATTAGCTTTAATTTAATTTCCTTAAAGAAACAATGTTCTCAAGCTCACGTGCATAATACAAGCCAAATCTAAGTGAAAATACATATTAAATTCTCCCTATCTAAATTCACATCGTCATGGTGCCTGTGGAATAAATTCCCATGTATCCACAGCATAAGAATATACTATAGACAAGAAAAGAAACTGCACAGCACTCTGAGTAAAAGTCTTTGATTTTGAAGTTTTTATCCGTATTCTGCTGCAGTTCAGACAGTGAATACAGTCCCTGCAGACATGCCTGAGCTAGCTTTAGAGTAGATGCACAGAGATCGTTAGCAATGCAGGCACAGCAGCGTTATCTTCAGTACGGGATACAAACCCCTCTGTGAGCACGAGGTGACTATTTGTCAACTGGCTTGTGCTGACCTTCATGGTGCTGTGGCTACACTGCTATGCTATTACACTAGTTTTTGTATCTCTGCACAACACACAAGTAACACTTCTGTCTGCGCTGTAAACCTAGCTGCATGGCTGGGCCATGTCCAGAGGTATTTTGTTATCAAATACGTGCAGAAGAGTTTAAGGAGTCTCAACAGTGACTAAACAGGTTAAGTACCTATCGCCACATGAAATCAGGGGGATTAACATGCCTCAGCCACACAGACTCTTCTCTCGATACTCCTGAGACCCTGTCTACCTAATTATTTTTGAAAATCTGCCCTAAATTTCTTTTATAACAGGGACCTAGGCAACTATCCCACTTAGGGTCTATACTTTATTTAGGAGACAAGAGAATGAGTAGCAAATCCTAATTAAAACCAAACATTTTCTGTTAATTTCGGAAGGTTTCTAAAATACACTGGCTGCAGCTTCACTACGGCTCCAAGGCCTGTTATGGAGAAGAAGGGAAAGATGAGAGGGCTGAGCACAGGACCATGATGCAGGTATTATGCTTGGCAGTGGAAAAGCTCCAGAAGGGTTTTAAGGAAAAAAGTGGGGTCTGAAGTTGACATGGAAACCAATGAAGATATTAAGCAGCGTGAGCGGTTTGGTCCAGGAACAGAACAGAACAAGGTTTCTGGGATACGGAAGACAGCAAGAAGGTGCGGTTTCCTCAGGGCCCTGTTATTACAGCACCTGTGTGGTATTGTTGAGTTTCATTAGTTTGTTGGAATAAATATTTGTGGAGATGTGAAATCTGGATGCATATCTTGAAACTCACCTTCCGCGATCCAGCGGCTTTCATTTCATACACATCAATTGTGTAATTTGTTCTCCGCCCATAGGTGTCGAACTGGATGTTCCCTGTCATTCCTTGAACTTGCACCTTAAGGGAATAAACAGAAAAAGCATTTTAATAAAAGATTCACTTTATTTTTCCCTCCGTTACATTTTTCGGGGACCCACTAGCTCTAGCACAATTTTTATCTATATAAGAGACTTGTAGCGCTTTTGACAGAGCCAGTTATATTCTTTGTAACAAAACCAATCCCAATTCTCTCAGTTTCAGCTGTACATATTCTTTGTTAGTTAGTACTCAGCTGGTGACTCACTACCGCAGAGTGAGCTGCATTTAAGTAGAAGTGAAATTAGCCCTACACGTATGTTAAATATAAGAAAGACTGATTCTGCCATGCTTAGTCACGCTGGGTTCACTGATACAGCATGGAGTATCAGTGAGGCACATTCAGTGCCATTAAACCCCTCACAATATGGTATAGAGTGATTTGCGATATGGAACAGAATCCCATATCATTGCTCATTCCGGGAAGTGGTTTATTTTAAGATCAGTCCCAGTGTAGGAGAAAGGAATGAATGTCTTCTCTGAATGAGCACAGACAATTGTCTCCACTGCTTATGGAGTTTTGGTCTCCATCTGGATGGATGGGTGTATAGACGGTAAGTCATTATCATTACCTACTCACATGAATCATCTTAAAGGGAAGTATAAAGTACTTTGTTTCAAAGAAAAAATCTTTCTTATTTCCCTGTATGAAAGGGCGAGATATTTCCATTTATCACTTATCAACACTGACAAGCTGTCAGCTCAGGCAGAAGGGGTAACAGTCTGAAATTTCAGTAGGGGTAAATTAGCTTTAATATTTAGCAAAATGCAATAGATGTTACAGAAGGAGGTGATGGAAGACTAGTCAAAGGGAAACTGTTCAGGGCTGGTGACTGATCTGCTATTTATGGCTTACAGATGGCGCAATCAAACTTGTTATGGTGGACAAGGCTACATTAACCAGCCAAAATTCCTTGGACCCCCAATCATCCAGTGAGCCAAATTCAGACTGATATATAAGGAGTGTGATTTTTTTTTTATCAGTAAGTGGATTTAAACCTTTCTTAAAATAGTTTATATCATTTCAGGGGTCTGGAAGAACATGTGACTTATTCCTGTCTCCAGAAAGCTAGAGAGGTGAATGGGACTTTGAAAGCCAAATTTGCCCCTAAGAGGTCTTATCAACTATGGACTGAGCAAATGTATTTGTAGGGTAGTTGACATATAACGTGCAGCCAGACGTGAGCTGCTGTGCCTGCTTTTGGCACTTGCTGGAAGCTGTCTGGCTACCTTAGCACAGCAGTGACTGTATGTCTCAGCAGAGCTCGTTAGGCCAGTTTCATCCGGATGCGTATTGACACATGAGCATTGTGCACTTGACACCTTTTGACTTCAAATTTAATTTGTTTCTATCCTTGGTGGGAAAACTCCGCACTTTTCAAAATCTGGCGGCACCGAGGCAGGCAGACTCACCAGGACTCAGAACGCTTCTGGTAGCAGTGTGCGGAGGCCATCAGAAATGGAGTGACTATTTATAACTGCCCAGATCTGTTTAGGTAATCTGTCTGCCACTGATCTGATGTCTTAGAATCAGCTTTAGAAATACAGACATGCACAGTTTTCAAGGCTGTAGGGAGGCAGACTCAGGTAATGCCTATTTCCCTTTTGCCAGCCGGATGACTATAGTGTGGCACAGAACCTTCTGGTAGCACAGGATATTTCAAGGATGTCTTGAAAAAAAAAATTCTTATCTGAGTTGTTGCTACAGAGTGGAGAGGAAACATTGTTAAATCAAAGTTTTTTTTCCTGAAGCAAAGATTCAAGATCATTGTCTGAGTAGAGGGAGAGAGTGTGATAGACAGGATGGGGTCTGGAAGGCAGCGTGGGATGATCTTGGGTAGCGCTTGTTGGAGGTGTATATAAACCTTACTTAGAGGACTTTGAATAGCTAAAACAATACAAGACAACCAGCTGAAAGTCAACCTTCTGCATTTTTTGCCAATCATGAATTTGGCTTTGTATATCTTATGAATTACGTTTTTAAATTAAATTCTGTGAGTAAGGGAGTGTCCTGTAGCAGTGTTGGTTTTCTTTGTTGACACGAATACCTCGTATCTCATTTGGAGGAGTTTCACATTTTGCTTGTAATTAAGTTCAAACGGACAGTACAAATTCTTTAACTATTGTGAAGGTTGAATTTAATTAACTTCTCTTCAAAAGTGTGTAATGCTACATTACTGAATGTGCAGTTAGGGCATTTGTTAGGAAGTGACATAATGGCATGAAAAGAGCTCTGGCAATGTGAGATTGAACCCTCTCTCTCACTCTTTAAGAGTGATATAATCTGATTATAACCTTCTATAACTCATTATAACCTTCTGATACAATCCTTCCAATTTGGTAATCAAGAAAAAGCAGTAATTAAGCTAAGTGTATGAAGGCTGATCTAGGATTTGTTTATACCTAACACGGGCTTAATTCTGATCTCACTCACTCCAGTTCTACACCTGCATTAATATAATCGATTCTAACGAGTTTGTTTTAGAGTTATTTGAGCCAGATCAAAAGCAGACCATATTCTTGTCTCATATCTACAAAAATGTTATCCAGTTTTTCCTGTTGTCCCTTGTTTTAACACACATAGCAGTCTAAAAAGAGTTAAAAATCAACAAAATTAGAGACATAAGTGAGGTAGGATCCCATGCAATAACCAGTGTTAGGGAGAAAAAATAGGCAATGCAGAAGGTAATCAGGCCGAGTGCAAAGTTATGCCAGGAATCAGAACTGGTTCAAGACTAAACTGTGTCAAGGTTCAGGCTGGTGCCAAAATCTAGCAGTATTGCTATGACCAACAACATTTTTTCCACTGCTTTAAACCAATGTGAGCTGACTTTTTACTGGCAAATTATCAAAATTGCATACATGTGTTTAAGTTCATAAATACATGTATCCCTCTAAGATTTACAATACACATGCTGAGGACCTAGTCTAGTTCTGTTCGTCACATTTGCAGCCTCAGCCTGGCTTTATACCCCCCCAAGACACATTTGTTTGCAAAATGGCTCATGCTCACTCTCATGGGAAGCTTGGGTTTTACAGAGGAGTACGACTGGAGGTGCTCTGGTGTAGACAATCAGGCAGCTGCTGCACTGGTGCCAGAGTGATGGGATTTTGGCCAAAGTTTTGAGAGCTAATTTGTTACGCCTCTATTTAATGTATTTTAGCCATCCTTTGGAGTTTGTCATTAAGTTTACTTTTTCTTTCTCTCTTTTTTTTTTTTCCTGAGGAGCTGCAGCTGTTTGTGCGAGTACAGAAACTCTGTGTACGTGGAACAGGTGGCAAGTTCAGTCCCAGCAGAATGGCTGCTGTTGTGGAATATATGCATTCATTAACTCATATGTTTGCCCTTACCATTTTCAGCGCTCTTTCTATATCAATTCCTTGGCTCCATGGTACTGCAGGGTTAGCCAGGCAGTCTCCAGCACTGCCTCTCCTGGAGACATCCACACGCTGTCTTCGGAGGTAACGGAAAGCCTCTGCTATGACTAGCACTGCATCATGGGTCAGTGCAGACGTATACTAAAATGGATGCAAATAAAACATGGTGACAAAGTGAAATCTTAGAATTGGCCCAGGTTTATCAGGCCTAGTCCTTCTCTTTGTTAAGATACTCTTCAGAAGAATCATGCTTGCAAGCCCTTTTGCTTGCTCTGTCTTGCCACAGGTGCTTTATGTAGTTTAACGATTCCATGTATTTCAATTAACAAATTAAAAATATTTTCATTTTGTGTAGTGTATAGCAGCAAAATAACAAAACCAGTTTATAGTTGCATAAAGTTTAAATTTAACTGGAAGTTTGCTCATCCAGATCAGGTCCCTACAAAAGTCTGCAATTCCATGCTGGCCCATACTGCTACCAATAGCAAAGAAGAGCTCATATTTGGTTTTCGCTTGGAGTATTCTTTTCCTTTTTAACAAGATTGCCAAGACAGACAGTTTTGAATTAAAGTTAACATAAATCATTTCTGTTTGGACCACAATCCTGATTAGGTAGCATCTGTGGCAAGGAATAGATCAGATTACTTTTCTTAGAAGACAGCTATACAAGCAAGTAATCACAAAATACACTTTAGGCATTACATCTCCTTGGTAACTGCCCATCTGCCTTCTCTGACTCCACGGTAAATCTGAGGAGGGTGATAAGCTTTGTGTAGCAGCAACTCTTCAACAAAACCCCCAGACTCCTTAACTACTTGTTCATGTTGCTGACAACTTCATCCATTACTTGTCATATGTATCTGGTGACATCCTCCAATGCTATAAATTTAGTATCACCTAAGAAATGTCACGGAGGTGTTTTCTTCACATTTTTTCCACATTTATGTGTTTGTCTGAAAGTTCTTCCCTCCTAGAGTGGCCGAGGCTTTGCATACGACATCATTGGTTTTCACCGGCATTACAGCACACCTATAATTTAAGGGTCTGTGCACAGAAGACCATGTCAACATGTACATCCTGGGAGCAACTGAATATGCTCAGCGTGTGAGACCAGATTTCAAACCCCTTGTAACTGACCCTTCGTATTTCCACAGTGTTTGTAAGAGAACGAAGAGAAGAAAAAAAGAATGTAAGGGGTATCTGCATGTACTGGTGCACCTGCCCTTCTTTTGGCTGTCTGTATGATACCATAGAGCTCCTGGCTCCCGATGAACCTTACGCTGGAGTTAGTACCAGAAGACATGCTGCCCATGTGTGAATTAGAGAGGTGGAAATCCAAGTTTCAACTGCACATTCAGCTACTCTCTCTGTGGATAAAACTTATTAAATCCAGAAGTAGTTAATTCTATCCTGTAGGGCAGGATAGCACAATTGGTGGTCTGTATTTCTTAAAAATGTGTATTATCTTACTGCAAGCTCTTCAGTTTGATATAAAGCCTTAGGAAATCTGCACAGAACGAGGCGTGTCTGCATGTGCAGATCAAGAGAATCATATCTGATTGAAAAGAGTGCAAAGGTAGGATTGTGAAGAAACTTATACAGCAGCCATTCTTACTGAGTTTTAAACGACAGCAGTTTATAAACTCTAACTGGGCGTTTGTGGGATGGTTCCTGCACTGACTGTATCTAGGTACAGGTGCTCTTTTGATCCTGCCCACCTTTACCTCTTCCTCTGATGCTTTGCAATGATCACATTCTCCTCTTTTAATAAGTTAACAAAGGTTATACGTGACATTCCACACAACAATATAGAACCAGATAGTAATTTTAAGGTATTTGTTCTTGTATTAAAAAAACTTGTAATAGCTGTCCAATCTAGCATTACGTAAAACTTACACACCGATAATTTTTTCAGCAGACTGCATCAATTGTCAGTAACCTTAATGCAGCTCCTTCCAAGTCATGCCAAGAGAGCTATCTAATTTTCTACTTTATTTGAATTCTACTTATAAATGCATGAGCATGCAAAGAGAAAAAAGAGAGAGAGAAGGGAAAGGCTGATAAAATACAGAATAAATTAAACATCAGGGCTTTAATCTCTAGGCAATTTTATTTCCTAATCAAAAATATTGTACATCAATTTTTAAGTATGCTTTTTGTCTGACTGACAAATACTGTGCACATTTCTATAATGAGCGGTACATTTGTGGAGAAGTAATGTCATCTTTATGTTTGTACCATATACTTAAGATTATTTTTTAAGGATGGAGAATAATTTTTCCCTCCAGGTAAATTGCTTTCAAGTGGAATAAAATCTTCCCAGGTTAACTTTATATATTTCAGAGCTTTTGAGATTAGTATGATACTTATCTTCACTTCTGCATCACTGCTAGGAAGCTTTAGAAAGCAGGCCTAGGTCCTAATCAATAGGGAACAATACACTAATCCGAGTTTTGTGGGCCTCCGTTTGCCTTTCTTTGCTCGCTCTGAAATGTCAGCAAGGCTGTGGGATGGCGTGGGATTAAGATAATTTTTCTTCCCCATAGAAATCACGTGATCCCAGGGATGGAAAAGGATGCTTCCAAATGGCACTGGCCTTCTGGCAGCAGAACTGCATAACTGGTTCCTATTCTGTCTGTAGTCCCACACAGCGCTACTGCCTACCCTGCTATCCCCCCATGCATTGGACTGGACTGAATTTTTCCTTTCTGGCTAGTATTTTATGCTTCCCTGAATTTTGTCTTACTAATATCAAGACATTACTCCAGTTTATCGGAGTAATTTTGAATTCCAAATCTGTTCATCAATTTGCACGTGTCCCTCCAAATCAAGCAGGAAAGATGTGAACCCTCTCATCATGGCTGTGGTTCTTAGATGGGTTTGGCTTCCCCGAGACAGTTAGTATACATGATGTGGAGGACTGGACTCCCGGGAGTGACAGAATTTAAGGTCCTCTCATCCACCACCAGTCCCAGGTTTTATTCACCTATGTGTAGTGATTAAAAAGAACAGGCCTCACCAAAAGAGGAAGAGAAAGAAGGAATGTAATAGGAATATTAATAATATGCAGTGGTCCTAGAAGATTTGATTACTTCAGTCACTGGACAGAGTATCCTTGATGCACTCCTTGACTGGACAGTGGATAGCATCCCTCTCTGCTATAGAGATGCTGAGGCAGAAAAAAATCTGGGGGAGATATTAACAGGTTGCGAGTCTCCTAGTAACAGTAGCCTTTAGTTCACTCAGTCCATGACAGTTTTGGTGAACCTGGGACTTTCATTTAAAAAAATTCGGAAAATTTTATTGGTTGCAGATATAATATCCAGAGTGGTTAAGTGAAGGACAGTGGTGCAAAATACATGGTTAGATTACAAGGGCAACTGTCAGCAGTGACTAGGAGGTGGCAGTGGCTCCTCAGTGAAACTAGAGCTACTTTATTTTGTGCATTAAATTCTCTATTAGCATTAAAAATGACTAGTAACCCACAGTTTGCATCTAAAAACTAACCTAACTAGCCCCCACCCTTACCCCAAGACCAGCTCAAGAAGTTCAAGTTAAAAGTTTTTACATCCACTGCACAATGACAAGATTTGCAAGACCAGGCCTTTGCCTCTGAGGAACTCCCACTGTGGTGGGCACTTGTGTCCAACTAAAAGCCCCTGCCTCTTTCTCTCTTCTGGAAGGGCAGTGAATGTTGCAACATACTCTAATCAGGGACCTGTATCATACACATGCACACATCTGGGGTTAAAAAAAAATCCAAATAATTGTTAAAAGCAACTCACATAGTCTCCATCACTGACAGGGTAAAATACGTACCTTTAATGGTGAATTTTTGGCTTCAGGAAATTCTCTTTCATCGAGCCTCACCCAGCGTTGTAGAAACTGTTGAACCATTGGGTTTTCATTATTAACAATCTGGAATCCAGTAACGTTGGCACCTCCATGCATTACTCTCTCCAGAACAATGTCTGTGAAGCCCTGGGAGGACACATGTAGAAAACAAGAATCATTGCCATCCAAAGTTCCTTTTCTTTGGCTCAGTTTTACCTGCTATAAACGTAGCACAAAAGAAACTGATTAATTTTCCTCTTGTTAGCTGAAAATATTCTACCAAGGAGACAATTACTATCACAACTGGGATTGTGATAGCAGCATAGAATAGAATTTAAAATGTCTTCTTGTTCAGACCTTTGCAATAGAGAACTGCCCTGCTGTGTTGTGGCCATGCAGTATGTAATATTCACTGGCCAGAAAGAAAACAGTGGGGAAACTTGAAGTACTGTTTCCCCTTTTCTCCTCATCATGGTGAGAAGTGGTCAAAGACCTCAATCCCATTTGTACAGCAAAGTGCGCACGAAGGTTCAGCACTGGGAGCAGAAAACCACTTAACACCCATATTGTTCTGTGGAGGCAAAGCACACGTCTCCTTGCTAGGCAGTTCTCCATCACAGCATTACTTAACATTTCACTTGCAGACAGAACGGTATGATTCTCTCCCACTGTTGTTATTTATACTTGAGGAAGTAAATTGGTGTCTTTTTGATTAGTATGACTTGATTGCAGTCATGTTTCTCTGAATGTCAATGGTTACACATGCTAAAAAGTAACCCAGAATAAGACCCCCTGTATTTCTGTGCACACGCTAATCAGTGAGATCATGACTGGTTCTTATAATGCAAAATGACACATCTTGAAGTCATACAGTACTTATACTAAGTAAGGGTATTTTAAAATTTGTCTTTTCTGCTTTAATCACACCAAAACATGGATACAGAGAATCTTCTACTAAGTGGGTTTGCTAACTTGAAAGTGTGAGTTTTGGAAAAACATTTTTCTACTCACAGTAGACACAGAACCCAAAAATTTGTCTTGCTGCAGGATTGATTACAATATAACACTTTTTCTAAGGCACTCTAGCAGATGGTGTTTCAAAGGCATCATAAGCATCCCTGAAAGTCAATTCTAGAATCCAGAAGAAGCCCTGATACAGATAAAAATGTACCGTCTTGTCCTGGTATGTCAGCACATACACAGGCACCACGCTACACTCTGAAATACAAAAGAACAGCTAAGGAGCCCGGCTGGTTTACTTGATGGAATTGTTCGAATATGTAGCTTTTTATCACTTGTTTTATATACAAATATGCTACAAGTATTTTTCCTGGAGTGTTTAAATTTCAAATATGTTCCAAAGAAGATTACGGTTATCAAGTATCTTATTTATGGGATAAAAACTAGCGGAAAACATATAATTAAATTATTATTTTAAAATTAGTAGAGGATATGAGCTGCTTAGACGAAAGACCATAATTGAGTACAAATGACTATAACATACCAATTCTAGTATTTACTGAAGTAATTTCTCAAAATCCAAGAACTCATCCGTCCATGTCCTCTTTTGCTGATTAAAGTTGCCACAACCTGAACAGAATCTATTACCCTCTAAACTTTAGCTATGCTTGTAATGACGAAAAGTTCTTACCAGGTTAGCTAACATGTAGTGATAGCCTCTAGAATGTTTGCCGAGGATTACAACCTGTGTGAAGAAAAAAATTACATATTATTCAGTTGTAAGAGGATGACTCTTAACTAGTGGAGAACACCAGAGAATGAACATTTTGGTAATCCTCTATGCCCAGTCCATGGGCAGCACGAGTATTACAGACCTGTGGCCTTACAGACACGATGCCGTCATTTGTGTTTTTAAAACACACATGCAGAATACAAAGAAGAGTAACTCACAAGGCTGAGAAGACTCCGCTTGCAGAGATGTCCTTACCTGGCAATCTCACCCTTGTGATCAGCGTCTTCCCTGCTGACCCAGTTAATTTTAGTTATCAGTTCAAGTATTTCTGCTCTGAAATGATGTAACACTCTATCTGTTTACTTTGTTCCTTGTTTGTGGAGCGTATGAAAGGCGGGTGACACAGCCCAGCCACTCACTGTGTCTATTAACGGTTGGACTCGATGATCTTAAGGGTCTTTTCCAACCTTAACGATTCTGTTATTCTATGACTCTATTAAACTGTACCAGCACAGCGGGGCTCAGCAGGCGCCAGGTCATACAGGGGGTTTCCTGCCATGAGAATCCTGGCCAAGCCTTGTCATATATGAATGCTAAAAGTTAAATTCCTGAAGTTATAACCAGTGACCTTTATTGCCTTTTGACAGCTTTCAAAAGGCCTGAAAACTTGTCGCTTCCAGTGCATCTAAATGGACACATCCGACCTTACATCTTTAGCCAAAATTTACACTAAATGTGATGCTGCACATTCCACTAAACCAACATCTCCTGCCCTCCCTGACCCTGCTTAGGCATCTCTCTGTACAAATGGAGTCATTCAATGGAATTGCTAAGAGACAAAAAAGCAGCAGGATGAACTGTGCAGCTGGATTCTGTAGGGGAAACGGGGAGGAGTGGAGGCAGCGCTGTCTGGCAAGCCTGAATTCTGCCATCCTGCGTGCTCGTCCCCACTCCAGTAATACTGTGCTTTTGCAGAAAGGAGGAAAAAACACAGTTCCCATGCCTATGCAGCTGGCTGCCGGCACACCAGCAATACCCCTTGTAGAAGATTATGCCACTGCATTTAGCACAATTCCATTGCCTTCAGATTATAATCTCAGCAACATCCATCCAGTCCCACGGCCATCAGGTGGAACAATATCCAGCAGTAAGAACTTAATTAATAATTGTGGTGGTTACGTGTGTGTCAGGACAGAATCACACTTACCCAGACTTGCTGGGTTAAACGAATAAAAGTTAGAAATAGCAACCATAACGCTGGTGATACATCACAGGTGTATCACTGACTATACCCTACGAGCAGCTCAAGTGAACAGATGATGCTTCTTGATGGAGGACCATATGAAAATCCATACATGCCATACTAACGTACTTCTCCATGGTCACAGACAAACGTTCCAAATGCCATACTCTAAAAGACATCTTTTCAACACGACCACTTACGTCTTTGCTGAAAACAGATGACATTTGAGTCATTGACTTTAGATATACTGCTGAGCCTGTTCAAGTTCTTGATTAAATTATTAAGTTCCCAATTGCCTCTTTGGGTTGTCTTGTCCTTAACAGATGCCATTTCTTTTAAATTCACATTTAATTCTGTAGGAATTTGCATACTTCCAGCAGTCTGAAAATAAATTGCTGTTCAGGTCCTCTTGAGAACTGTATGTACACTCTGCTGGTAGAAAGTATCTGCTTTCCTACACTCACATTTGTTTTCTATGGAAATGTGCAAGCTTCCTTCAGATCATCTGGTGTGCATGCGATTTGCATACTGAATTCTCTGCATGTTTTAATTTCACTTTAAAGGCAGCAATTTACTTTTAAAAGGTCAGAGACAAAGAACTTATTTAACAACAACAATGCTCTGTCATTTTAACCTTAATAACAAATAAGAAAGCTTTAACATTTCTATCCAGAAGTGTGTTTATTTAAGAGAAAAATACCACATGAAGCCAGAGGCTGTAATATACAGGGAGCTGCTACAGGCATCAGGAGCAACACTGAAAACAGGAAACATAGGACTCATTAGCATAGATCAGACTCAACTTCCATCTCATCTGTTGTCATGTCTCCAAAATGACCAGAAATAATTCTGTTCAGTCCCTTAGAGAAGTCCAACGTACTACAGTCAAGCTTTAACTCATAAAGCATCTTTCAGAAGTGACCTGCCAGTATTTCCACTCACACAATCAACCATGTTAGTTCATAATTATTTAACTGGATCTTAACAATGTTTTTGAAACTCACTACACATGCTGTCCTAAATCTTAACAACCACAACTCTCCTCCTCCCTCACTTTCCACCCTCTCCCAACTGTCCAGTATCTTGAATGGAGCTCTGGATTAGCGAGCCCAGCAGAAACAATCAATCACAGGCATCAGTGTTACTCCTAGGGGAGCGAAGGGATAGATAAAGCTTTTTTATGAAGAAGGAAAACAGGAGTGTGACAAATAAATCTCATCAACTGCTTATGTATTGTGAAGCTTATATAGAAAGTGGGATATTGAATAATGGTGGTGAATAGCAAGCCAGGATTACAGGACAAGGATTTCACAGAGCTACATGTCTTTGCTAAGTTTCACTTCCGAGACTTAATATTGCTTTCACCTTGACTGAAAGAAAAGCTTATAAGATTTTATACTGAACAAAGGAGGAGGGAAAAAAATGGCTGGAAACTATCATGAATAATTCAGACTTCTGATCCCGCATAATTCTTGCCTTGTAGATAAAAAGATCATAATGTCAGGTTTGATACAGAATCAAATAAAGTTTGTATTTTTAATTAACTCTTCAGATATTTCCAATTAATTAAGAGAAAACGTAGAGGGAACATAATTAAAATGTATCTGCTTTTAAAATAAAAGTCAAATCTGCTGGCCAGCACCAGGCTTACTGGAAGTACAGACCTATACGCCAGATTTGAGAAATTAAGTCAGCATTGCCAATTTTAGTTTTTCATTTGCCTGGGGAAGTTATTTTTTGAATGAAAGCATAAAGACAACTTGGTTTCCACTGCATCGGTCACCATGATAATAAATAGGCAACTACAATTTTTTTGCCTCAGCTTTCACATTTTTCTTACAGTTTTGGAAGATACCATTACAGAAATTAACCGGCTAATATTAAATTGGTATGGAGCATCATGATATTTCTAAAGCAATAATGATGATTCTCTCATGGTGTAGTTCAAAGGCTACACAACACCTCAGAGGAAAGATAGTGAAGAGGAAGCAAAATAACTTTAATACTAACTTCACAATTACTCCATTACCTTTTGACTTACTCCCTGCTCAAAGTACAACCACAGCTAGTTCCTGGTCTAGAACATGGATCTGGGTTTTTTGGCCATCAAAACTGAATGTTGGAGTTAAGGGTGAAGGGAACATTATGAGGAGATTGGTGAACTCTTAAATGAAAGCCAAAGCAGGGAAACCATTTTAAACAGTATGATGAAGACAGATCCAGGGGTTTCGCTGGAATATTTCTCCAAGGACTTGACGAGGAACTAGAATGGTAAGAACAGAGTGTGTAGGTGAACAGCTGTAACAGACCAGAGGCAAGAAAAGAATGGGTTAACGGAAGACAAGACTCTGCAGGCTCAAAAGAAATCAAGTGATAAAACAATAGTGCAAGTTTGGTAGGTGGGACCGAGCAGTCATATTTTGTCTTTTAAAAATATCAATGGTTTGTCTCTGACTCATAAAAGGGAAAGATAATTTTTCTTTTATGGATGGAGGAAATCACAGAACAGGTGAGGTTGGCAGGGGCCTCTAGAGATTGTCTATTCCAACCTCCTAGCTCAAAGCTAGAGCAGGCTGCTCAGGACCATGTCCAGTCAGGGTTTGAATATTCCCAAAGACAGAGACTCCACAAGCTCTTTGGGCAGCCTGTTTCAGCGTCTGACCACCCTCACAGTAAAAATGATTTTTCTTATGTTTAAACAGAATTTCCTGCATTTCAGTTTGTGCCCTTGCCGCTTGTCACTGGGCACTGCTGAGACTCTGAAACTCAGTGAGACTCTCCAAGAACAGTCTGGCTCCATCTTCTTCATTCCTTCCCATCAGGTATTTGCAGGTATTATTAACACGCCTCCTGAGCTTCCTTCTCTCGGGGCTACGCAACCCAAGTTCTCCCAGCCTTTCCTTGTACATCAGATGCTCCAGTCCCTTAATCATCATAGGGGCCCTTCACTGGACCTGCTCCAGGATGTCCATGTCTTTCCTGAACTAATGAGCCCAGAACTGTACGCGGCACTTCAGATGCAGCCTCACCAGTGCTGAGTAAAAGGGAAAGATCACCTCTACTGACCTGCTGACCATGCTAATCCTGTGCAGCCCAAGATGCTGTTGGCTTTCTTTGCTGCGAGACTGCAGTGCTGGCTTCTGCTCAACTTGTCTGCCAGGACCCCGAGATCCTGCAGAGCTGCTTTCCAGCCAGGAAGCCTCTGCCTAGTCTGTACTGGTGCATGGGGTTACTCTTCCCCAGGTGTAGGGCTTTGCATTTCCCTTTGTTGAACTTCATGAGGCTCCTCTCTGTCCACTTCACCAGCCTGTCAAAGTGTTGCAGCACAACCATCTGGTGTAGCAAACACTCCTCCTAATTTGGTATCATCTGCAAACTTGCTGAGAGTGCACTCCGTCCCATAACCTTCAGATCATTAATGGAGAGGTTAAACAGTATTAGCCCCAGTACTCTTAGGGTACTCCAAATAGTAACCACCCTCCAGCTGGCCTTTGTGTTGCTGATCACAACCCTCTAAGCCCAGCAGTTCAGTCACTTTTAAATCCACCTTACTGCCTCTATGGGCTTTGATTTTGAAGAGTACTTGAAAAATACAAGCTAAGAGGATATGCTTGCTCTTTTACCTAGAGAAGTAGCTATCACGATTTTGGCAGCAGAGAAAAGAAAACTACCATGTCCAATTAATACCTGTTTTGAGCTCATCTTCCCTTCATTTGAATCCATTGCTATCTGGTCAGTTTAGTCTGTTTAATCAAAGTTATTTATCATC